ATATGGTGCATCATCGCTGTTGCTTTCTATCCACATGAGAACTCCGAAGTGCTTCAGGTCATGTGTACGGTTGCGGCAATCTGTTTTGCACACAAGGCTCAAATCAACACAGCACACAACTGCATCCAGACAACTTTTATTGTAACATCACATCCGTGAGTGCGCAAACACTTTCTCAGTGTGTGTCCGTCTGTGTGTGTCTGTGTGTGCCAGTGTGTGTCTCTGCTTATTTATGGCACTCTGTCTCATAATGTTTTATGTTGTGCTGTGTCCAAGGACATGATAATGCACCAGTCAATAATGGTCTGTTCTCTTCTACTATAGCACAGCATCCCAAAGCACAGCATAGCATAGTATAGCATAGCATCGCATAGCATAGCATGCTATAGCATAGAGTACTATTGCTGTAATATAACAGTCTACTAGAGTTACTAAATCCTGGTGATCACAGGAAGCTGGGGGGTTAAAACAAAGCTTCTGGGGCTTAAACGAGAGTCTTGCTCTGGCCGTTCAGGCCCCGCCGCAGGCATGCAGCCTGTCCTTCATTACGACTCTTGTGAGCCCAGGAATCGCATTCCGCGGCACGAGTACATCAGCGCGCCCAGAAGCGACCTGCAGACACCCACGCTTACGTGCAGAGGTGTGCATTCCAAGTTCCTTGCATACCTAGCACACGGTGCACAGCGAGCCACACCACTTGCCAAAGCGACCTGCACGGCTCCATCCAATTAGAGGACAAGCCTACAGATGGTACTACACAGACTGCCAGCCTTCACAATTAGGTGCTCCAGTCTGCGACGCCGACAACAACGCCGGGTAAAGGCAGCAGAGTCGCCAGTGCCCCCCTGATGCCAGGGCCATCTCACAGAGTTGCCCATTTCAGCGGCGCGCGGCACAAGGAAGGAACATGGAGCCTCCTACAGCTAGAAAGCTAAAGAGTCTGCTTTCGTCCACTAGCCGCCGCAGAGAAGCTAGATGCTCACAGACTGAATCCCCTTTCCTTGCATACAACACGGGTGTGCGCGTGGACAGGCCATGCTCAGCAGATTTACAGAATGTCGTGGCAGGCAAGAATCCGAGTTCTAACGATGAGTAGGGCTGTAGGTGCTGCACATCAATTCAAACCACTCGATCGCATCGCTCCACTGGCACCGGCCCGCACCCGCACACTGCGCCGCACACTGCCCCGCACACCTGTTGACTTCCACGCCATTGACCCTCATAGGTGGAGCCATCCTGGCGAAGCGAAGCACGCTAACGCCAAGCCGTAACGCCGTTTGTTGGTTCTATGTCGGCGAAAAGGAATTCTTGGAGGGCGAGGAAACATGAAGAAAGACTAGAGCTGACTCGATCTCACCAAAAAGTGACCAATGCTGACCATTGCTGTAACCCAGTCCGCGTGTTTGAAGCGACCGAAGCCGGTTGCTTGCCCGGCAGACCACTGGCCATCATAGAAGCTACCTGACACTTGCTACAACACGCCGTAAACTGTTGTAGCACTCCCGGAAGTTGGAAGAGACAGCGAGCGTAAACGAGCAGACATAGACAAACGATCACATCCGTCCATCAACTGGCACACACATCTCAAAATCTGTAGTCAGAGATCTGCCGTGCCGAACGGACATGGCTCTGTCTACGCACTTCAAGAGGAGCTGACCATTCGTGTGTCGCAGAATGCCAATGCCGGTCGCCAGGCGATCTGCCTGCAAGCATCGGTAGCATGTGCACATGTACACTTGCACTGCTAACTGTTATATATATATATATATACATATATATATATATACATACATATATATATATACATACATACATATATTTATATATATATATATAGTTGGCAGATTCAAACCAATGGTCGCCTCCATCTCCTTCTTTGGTGACTTTTTTTGCGGACCGTGGTGCTGTTCTGCAGTTCTGCACATTACAGTGACAGCCGAGTAGAAGCGCAGGAAAGCTGATGCAGAAACTCCTGAAATCCACGTGTTTGAATCTCCAGCTGACCTTTCTTTCCCCTCACCCGGGTTTGGTTTTTTCCCAGAAGGAAGCAACCACCGGCTTCTAGTTGCAAAGCAGACTTGAAGAAAGCTCGGACAAAGCACCCACACAGGCCAACGTGTAGCGGGCAGACCTCGAGCAAGGACCTTGTCCCGCCCGGCAGTTCCATCAGCACGTGCATCTCGCAAGTTCGGCAATGGAAGTCAAGCTCTTAAACTGGAGCGAGGATGCTGTCCAGAAACTAATACTGCGGCAACTGGGCTCTGTGACAAATTTCGCAATATTGCTATTTCACGGGTGGTAGCGGCTGCCTGACTGAATAAGCATGTAGTCACTCGTAACACGGCAACAAGAAATACAACACCCTTTCTCCCACTTGTTACATTAGTTGAAGCTGACGGCAAGCAAGCAGTCAGACTGTTGACATAATACCGCAAAGCTCATCAGACTTTGGATCTTCGCCTCTGAATTCGCCACTGCGGAAGGGGCTCGAGGCGACTCGACATGTTGTCGTGTCCTCGGGCTAAAATGCACTGTGCCTGTATCGAATCCAGCTGTTGCTACACGCGAGGGTGTAATACCTGGCAGTTCGAACGTGGCTAGCTGCACGCGAAACGATACCCCGCTGTTCACTGAGGATGTGTGAGCGTAGGGAACATCTGCGGTCCTGGTGCGCGTCACTGCTGGCGGTGATGCTGCATGGACCTGGACATGACCAGCGCAAGTGCGTTCACGAGCGGACGTCTTCTGACGCGACGACACCTGAATCCTGAATGACGACCCTTGCCTAACAATGCCCAAGCTCTGCAGCCTGAAACACTTCATACATCAGCCCACGAAGCACCAGTCTTGGGATCAAATGTCCAGTCTCGTAATCTTACAATGGAAGAGTGTGCTGTGCCAGAAGCTTTCCATCGAACCGTTTTGTGCCGCCTAACGACAAGTTCACGCTTCCGACACGAAAGCAGCCTGGCGGTTGCCGTCGCAATCATGGACCAAGTTCCTGTGTTGCTCATGGAAAAACTTCAGAACAAATCCCACTGAGACAATCTCGGCATCGTCTGCTCTCACACAGCTACTTGCAAAGTCCGAAAAGTGCACCGCTTGCAAGCGCGGTGTCATGATTGCGCTCAATAGAGCTGTGTCAGTGACCGCATCTCATCCATCTCTAATCTTCATCAGTTCTTGCCGAAAAGGAACATGTCGGCGGCATTGACGGTGCTTGATGACTTGGACCATGGATTGTCGGTGCACCTGCACATCAAAACAATGGAAAATATTAGTTGTGCACAAGACTACGCAATTTACATGGCCAGCATTCTGCTCATCATGCTCATTTAACCCCATGAGCCTATATCTTCAACACAGCCGCAAGGATGAGCATGGAAACACTTACGACGACGACGACGATGAAAAACAAGTCGACCGCCACTACCACAACAACAACACCAATACAAACTGCCACCACCACCACCACCACCACCACCACCACCACCATCGCCACGGACCACAACGACAACAGCAGTGAGAACAAACAACATCATCATGCACGGGGCCAATCGCAAGCAACGGTATCGACCCTAGTTACACTAGTTGCCGATCTGTCCCGCTAGAATCACGGCCTTGTTGTTGGACCTTCGTGTTCACGGCCTTCGGAAGCATGAACAAAGAAGCAAGCTAAGATTTATGCATTCCACTCATCACAAACCTGCGACGCACTGAGGCAAACACTCGTGACACATTGGCTGCACCCCAAGTTCGACCCCATGTCCTGATTGTTCTATTGATTCCTCATGTTCGCTACGCTGTACTGACACTGTTGTCGTGGAATTCGTGACAACGTGAGCACACTGCCCCTGTCAGCTCGTTGCTTGAACACGACCCACCGAAGCTTTTTGAAAAGTAACTGCCACCTCCCCTGCAACATGGAAGAGGATCAATGAATTGAAAAGGGAAAAGGATCAATGACATCAAAGAAAACAAATTAAAGTTCAGGAAAGTTCCACATCATGCAACACCAAAAAAACTACGTGTTAGCACTCAGCGTGCCCAAGGCAAAGTTGGAATGCATGCGACAGACGTCAAAGCAGAGCAAGCTGGACGAAATGCACTGAGTTTGCAAAAACCCGTAATAGAACGCATGATGGACTTAAAGACGATACTGGAAAAGCAAAGCAGAGCGTGGACGTTGTCAAAGCACAATGTAAGAAAGCCTCACACTGGCGGCAGCGCTTGTAAATCGAGAGTTAGTTGGAGATCTGGCCCAAAAGCAAAGCTGGTGTGCTTGCTTGACCCAAGCGGAGGCAACGGAAACAATCACCCGCAAAAATGGAAGCAGGCAAGTTCTACACCACGCAACACCAAAAGCTGCGTGTTAGCCACAGAGCGTGCTCAAAAGCAAAAGTTGGCATACATGCGACAAACGTCAAAACAGAGTGACTCTCTCTTTGGAGGGTGTCCCCAAACCCCACTGTGTTTAAGATCGAATTTCGAAATGTCAAAAGTGAAGCTTTACAGAGCTCGCAATTTAGAGACTCGAAGAAGCTTGCGTTTGATGTTTTTGCTGCTTTTGATCTATTCTCTCAACTCTCCATCAAATCTATCGGTCAAATGCGGATTGCCATTTGACAAGCCTTTAGCCTTTTGGGGCTTGATGCTTTTCACACTGTTGATTTCCTCCCTTCAACATCCATCAAATCAGACAAACGCGGATTGTTGGCTGTTTTATAAACCTTTGGGCCGCTTGTTGGAGGCACCTGTGGCGTTTGATGTTTTTGCCCTGCTGGGAAGCAGTCCCTGGCTGGCAAAAGCACCTGGATGAAGGCATTACACCATAACCCTAAACCCTAAACTGTAAGCTCTAAATGCACACCTTCAAGCTGAAAGGTGCCTCCGTTGATTTTAGCCCTCCTGGTAAAAGCACCTAGATGAAGTCGAAGTGTTACACCTTTTGCAACAGGCTTTCCACTTCGCCCGGAGTTGGAGCCGAAGCGTTACACCTAAACCCTAAACCCTAAACTCTGAGCCCTAAATCCACAACCTGAAGCTTACAGCTGCCTTGGTCGCCTTTAGCGCTGAAACAAAAATTTGAAGCCTTTCGCCCAACAGCGCTTCCAAATCCTAACTGCTCAAGGTTGCTTATGCCAAGAAGCAAGCATACGCAGGGCTCCAAACTGAAACTACACAAACAGTTTGCAAAATTTATAGTGCATTTGAGACCCTCATAAGTTGCTTGCAAAATAAATTTTCAGAGCTCCTAAGGAGCTCATGAAAAGCGCGGAGCCCTGCAAAGCAAAACTCAACATGCGGCTGAACTCAACGGAAAAATCTTCGGAACTGTCAAGATCTGTCAAGCACAACGACAAGAAAGCCAAGCGTTTTTTCTCTTTTGCACCAACCGAGGTTTGTGGCTTCCGCACGTTCTCTTCAGAAAGCTGTACAAAGAAAACGTCCAGAAAACTGTAAAACGCGAGTCGCAGGGGAAAACAGCTAACCACAAAAACATCCAAACACTTACAACCTCAAGGATTCTGTGAAAACACAGCAGCAGCGCG